TTTAGTTACAAATCTCACTGGTAAGAATTAAGAACTTTTCTAGAAGATATAGATAACTCTAATGTTTCATTAATAGAGAAAGACTGTGGAATGATCTTGCAGAAATGGAAACTCTTCTTTCTACACCGTATATAGCCACAAAAAAGCTGCAAGCTGAAGAATTGACAGGAGGCGAGAATGGAAGAATGGGTGTTTGTTCTTTCTGAAATGGAGGGTTTATTGCAGAAGGAATCATTACTTCAATGAAAAGAGAAACTAATTTGCTAGACAATGAGATCTTGCTGGGTTCAATATATGTAGATCCGAAACAATGGATTTTCTTGGATGACGAACAAATTAAAATGGCTAAGAAAGACATATATGAACTTTCATTAAGAATGAAATTATTCTCAGAACAACTGGAGAATTCAAATCAGAACAGTCAAACTGCAGACATTGCAATTGAGTCTCTATCGTCCTCTTCCAGTGATGAATTAGATTTTGAGAAATATTTTTGGATAATACTGAAATAGCTAAGGCAAAGTGGATGAAAATAAAGAAACAAGAGCCTTTAGATATAAAAATGATAAAATACAAACAAGGTTTCTGCATGGCCTTTGAAGCAATAGAGAAATATGATTGTGCTTGCAAGACACCTCTTTCAGAACTTATAAAAAATCTATCCTGAAAGTTAAAAGAGTAGCCATAACAGTAACAGCTCTTTCTCCTACTCAGGTTAGTGTGGAAAGACTTCTCAGCTCTGAAGTTTATCAGATCGGATCTATGGCCCTCCAACGAAGATTTTGCCAAAGCTATACTGTTTCTTAGAAACAACTAATGCCAGTTTTTCCATTTCTTGATAAATGCTAATTAATATAAATAATTTGCTGTGCCATCATTTTTTTTCCTGTAGCATTTAATGCTTTTATATTAAAAAAATAAGCTGTAGCCCATGTGTATATGTTTATGTATATGTGGGAGTCGAGTCGGAGTCTAAAATTCCCGGAGTCAGAGTCAGTCATTTTCGCTACCAATTCCACAGCCCTGATTCACAGGATCGTTCCTAGCGGGGATGCAGCACATAAAATAACGCGGGCGGCCAAAATCAGGGACGGTTGGACTCTCGTGATACCATGCCTAAATATTTTTAATTCATTGTAAGTACTTTTTTTGCAATTTGTCATATATGTAAGTACTTAGTGAGTATGAAATAAAACTTTTATTGTTCATTAAGCATTTTTTTTTTTTTTTTTTAATTTGGGGGGAGGCAATCTTAGGAAAGTACATAGGCAGCCAATAAATACCCTAGGAACAGCCCTAAGTATTCAGTCATCTTAACTGCTCGTAGGACAAATCTAAAAAAAATGCTTGTAATATCATGTAATCAAATGTTAACAGGATTGCTTTCTCAAGTACTGAGGTAGGGAATATTTAATCCATTATTTTTTTTAAGGGGTCAGGTACCCTTTTTGAGTAAAAAAAATTAGTTTTTTTATTGTTTTATATTAAAGAGCTAACTAATAGCAACATTTTGAAACAAACCACATTAAAAAAATTCCCACTAGAACGAAAGATATCGAGGAAGAACTGAAGCCCAATTTTTAAAAGTCAGGATCGAGGTGTTTGTTTACCTTTTTTGACAGCTGGATATCTACAGCTGCGCTCGCTCGTGAAGAGTGGTGATAAATTTCGTTTATAAAAGCAATCTAACATTTTTTTTTCTTGTAATGGCTTGGAAATAGATATATTTAATAATTATTTAATTCTCACTGCTTTTTTTTAGAAGAAAGCAATATATTTACTTTAACTTTCACTTATTCATTCAGTTTGTTTTGCTTGCAAATTGTACAATGTGTTCTATATTCTATGAGAGATTTCTCGATATATTTACCTTCATTTAATAATATAATTAAATATTTATATTGAAAAGTCATTCCTAAGATTAATATGAATAGGATAGAAGGTAGATTAACACTTAAATGATCATCTGGCAGTAGAAATAAAAAGAGAAAATTTACTGGTAATATCCACACACAAAAGCATTGCGAGTCGTCTACTGCACAACTAAATGTGAGTGCTTCTGCAAAGAAAATAAAACTTTCTAATAAGCAGTTGGAAAATGAAACTAATGATGATTTTAAGGTTTTAGGATCTTGGAATTGAGTGTAATGATTTCTTTTTTCGAAAAGGAATTGTGCTGCAAAACGTGGCAGTGATGTCACTTTCAAAGAAGAAGTTGTGTGTGGAATAAGTTCTAAATTTTCTTTAAATTGTGTAAATTGTATAGAACTGCGTGCATTTAAAAGTTAAAAAATTATTGGCAAGAAGAAAAACTGTGCTGACATTAACATACGTTATGCTTATGCCATGCGAACAATTGGAATGGGCTACTCAGTAATGAAACTATTTTGTGGGACCATGGATCTTCCACACTAGTATCGAAAAAAGCATATAATGCTACAGTAAAGAAGTTTATGTCGTGCTCAAATAATGTTGTACAACAATCCATGAAAAATGCTGCTTGCGAAGAAGTTCAGCTAATGGGTTCTTCAAATGTGATTAGCGGCGATTGTTCATGGAAAACCAGGGGTCACACATCACAAATAAGTGTGTGTACCATTATTGGAGACAAAAATGATAAAGTTCTTGACACAGAGGTTCTTTCATCTTTTTGTAAGGCATGTGATACATGGAATTCCATGAAAGGTACACCAGAGTATGATAACTGGCAAATGAAATATGAGGCGGAGTGTCTTATGAATCACAGTGGTTCTGCGGGTAAAATGGAGGTCGTCGGTATGGTTCGAATTTTCCAGCGGTCAGAAACGAAGCATGATGTGAAGTATGTTGGATACATAGGCGATGGAGATTCCAAGACTTTTCAATCTATAACGGAGGCCCAGCCCTATGGTTCTGATGTGTCCGTTTCTAAAATCGAATGTGTTGGTCATATTCAGAAGAGAATGGGAACGCGGCTCAGAAAATTGAAACTGAAAGGTATTAAATGTGCAGATGGAAAATCTATTGGAGGAAAAGGTCGCTTGACTGATACACAAATTGACAAATTGACTGTTTACTATGGTAATGCGATTCGAGAACACAAAACTTCTTTGGCGGAAATGCGTAATGCTATATGGGCAATCTATTTTCACACACGGTCAACTGATGTTGAACCGCTGCATACTTTTTGTCCAATAGGTCCCAATACTTGGTGTAAATACCAGAAAGCTGTAGCTAATGGAACTGTCAGTGAATTCAGACATAAACCAACACTTCCTTTTTGTGTTATGGATGTTATTAAACCAATATTTAATGATTTATCGCAACCTCTGACACTGTTGCGAAGATGTCTTGGTGGGAAGACACAAAACTGCAATGAATCTTTAAATAATTTGATTTGGAAATTGTGTCCCAAGATCCTTGGTTCAGGAAGAAGAATTGCTGAAATAGCAACGCTTGACGTCACAATACTGTACCATGAAGGTAATCAGGGAAGATTAAAAATTATGGCGGAACTTGGGCTGTCAGTTGGTTCATGTAGTCAAGCATGTCTATGTAAATTAGACGATCAACAAGTGAAAACTAGTGAATTACGCCTTTTGCAAAGCACAAAAGAAATGTGTAAGAAAAAGAGAAATAAACAAAAGGCTATTGCGGAGAACATATTGTTACTTGAAGCCAGAACATATTCACCTAGTGCATTTTAAATATATACACTTTACTTTTTTTTTTTTTTTTTGTTTTTGGACAGTAACTTATACAGTATCCATATTTACAACCTGTATTGTATAATTTAGAGAATTTTAAGTAATTTTATTCAAATACCACTTAGGTATGAAAAAAATTAATCTCCAAATGACTAGCCTGAAAAAAAAAAAGTAAATTTGTGTAAAAATTGTAAATTTTCTGGTCAGTGAGTTGAAGTTTTTGTTTCATATTTTCATGAGTTGTGTGAACTTATTTTGTTTTTAGATGTTTTTATACTTGAGTATCCACATATAAATAATTATATCATGTATTTTATTTAATATGAACACTTAGTTTTCTTAAATAATGCATATTTGTTTGATTTATCAACAATTAAAAGTTGTTTAGGCCTAATTTTTTTAATCATAGCAGCCATATTTGTTTAGATTTGAAATGTAGTAGAATAGTGAATTAAGTCTTTCTGCACCTTCGGTGTCTTTTTGCGAGTGGGACCAAAAGGAAACTTTTAGTTTTGTGCACTGAAAAATCTGCCTTCTTGCATGCTGGCCGACTTGCTTGTTTTTGTGTAGAAACTGTAATTTTAATTGTAAATTTTTTAAAAAAATTGTTTTAACAGTATTTAGTGTTTTTATATTTTTCTATATGTTTCAACTTTTAATAAAAATATTTTGAGTTTTTATGCATTTATGCCTTGTTGCGAGATGAGAACTGAATTAATTGAATGAGAAATATATCTCTAATGAAATTATAGTATGTTTAAATGCAAGAAAAAATGTGTATAATCTAATATTCTGTACAAGGAAGTCGTGGTGTACCCTTCAGCTTTTGGTAAAAGTTTACAATTGGCTGCCCCTTGTTTCTTGGCAATTCTTTTTTGACACCAAGATCGTTGACAGGAAGGCACAATTTCAAGATGGTCTCTATAGAAAACCAAAATAAGAAGTCAAAGAATTGCACAAACTCTGTGTTCATGTACACATTGATCTGTTTTCACTTTAAAAAAAAAAAAAAAAAAAAAAAAAAAAAAAAAAAAAACTAGAATTGTACAAACTAGGCATTGCGCACTGCCTTAAATTTGTCCATGTACACATCAATCTATTTTCATTTAAATAAAATCAGGAAGCTAAAAGAAAGTTAAAACTATAATGGTAACCAGAAGTGAGGTTTCATCCCCAAAATTAAAAAAAAAAAAAAAAAAAAAAAAAAAAAAAAATTGTCCCTAATCTACACTAGAGCTCAGCTTTTTTATATTAAAATTCCTTAAAGCATGTAAAATACTTTCTAACTATATTTTATGCACACGTTCTTTTTAGGCCGATCAGATTTTAGCGGAATACAAGGTTCTTTCATTGCTGTATCACCCAGACAAAAATCCTGATGATCCTAATGCAGGTGAGAATCTGTTTATTACATTATTGTTAAGATGCGGGAATAGAACTTTTTTATAATTTTTATGCAATATTGTTTTATTAGTCATGCAGTTCCAGAAAATTCAGAAAGCCAAGGAACTACTCACAGATCCAGAGAAACGAGCTTTGTATGACAAATGGCGCAGATGTGGTTTTACTATTCCATTTGAACAGTTTTTAAATCTCAGTAAAGCTGCTCATACTGTGAGTATTTTTGACTTAATTTTCGTATGATGATTCATGGTTGCAATGATTTAGAGGTAGATAGAAAAAATATAAATTTTTAATATCAAGATGTCAAGGGAAAATAAATTCGCATGAAACAGATTTTAAATTCTAAAACTGTTACTTTCACATGCTCAGTTATATAAACTTCATGGAAATACAAGTATCTGTTTTAGTATTGAAGATACTCTGGTTTACTAGTAGCTATTTTTCTCTGTTTTATTGTAGAATAATTTTCTTTAAATACTGTTGCGAATTTGGTATTTAAAAAGCTAATGTTAGTTCAGTTATAAATTAAATGGTTTTATTTCTCACGCAGTGCAGCGCGTGACGAATATTAAAAGAAAGCTAAGCCGGAAAAATTAAAAATACAAGAGCGCGTGCATTAAATAAATAAATATCTCTTTTTGATTTCGAGAAAGTACTGGAAAATTCTAGCGCGTGATTTTAAAATCTTATAAAAGGAGGAAAACATCTCAGTTTGTAGTAGTTGCTTAGTTTGTTGTTGTTTAGAAAACTGCTCTTGTTGATTGTAGCGAATTCGCGGATTAGCGTTCTTTAGCTGTTTTGAATTACGTTCTATTGGACATTTGAGTAGTTAAAAGATAACTACTGTGAGATATTGTAATACTGCATGATAATTTGAGAAAATTTAAGCATTTTTGTTGTGATAATAATAAATTTTTGTTCATTTTTCATCGGACTTGTGCATTCATTTCATAACGAACCCGTACGCACGCAACAATTTTTGGTGTCAGAAGTGGGATTTGAATGCCAATAACAAGAGCGATGGAAGAAGCAATTAAGGCAAATGATGACTTCATTTGCTGCTTTCCAAGAAAAGATTAGAAGGGGCCGTCAATCCGTTAAGGAAGAAATGAAATTGGGCCAGGAATCCGTTAAAGGACGAAATGAAAGCCGTTCAAGCTGGTCAAGAAGAAATGAAAAGAGAAATTGCCTGCATAATAGAAAATAAATTTGAAGCTATGGAAGGCAGAATAGAACAGTTGAAAATAAAGTTGGACAAATTGAAAAAAAGTTTCTTCCGTAAAAGGTCAAATTGAAGAAAGAGTTTCTTCGGTGAAAGAAGAAATAGAAGAAAGAGTTTCTTCTGTAAAAGAACATATAGAAGGGAGAGTTTCTTCTGTGGAACGAATTGAAGGAAGAGTTGTGCCGTCCAACACCAATCGACAACAAATTGATGATAGGGTTTCTGCAGTTGCCAAAGAAGTTGACTTTAAAGAAATTCATAGCGACGGCAGGGAAGCAATTCTGAGGGTTTTTAAATTCTTACCGATGCCTGCTCGTCCATCTCTGAAGCTATCCACATATGATGGGAAGACCTCCTGGCAAGGTGTATAAGACACAATTTTCTATCGTGGCAGGATGCGAATGGATGGGATTCCCAAGCTAAGGCCTGTCATCTCGCCGCTTCTCTGAGAGCAGACGCAGCGGATATCCTGCAGACGCTTCCCGAAAACCAAAAGGTTAGATTTCGAAGCTCTGTCCGGTGCATTGGAGCTGCGCTTTGGGGAGAAATGTTTAAAAGACTACAGCAGGCTTCAATTAAAATCCCGTCAACAGAAGCCCACCGAAACACTCCAGGAGCTCGCCACGGATGTTGAAAGGCTATCCCACCTCGCCTTTTCGGAGTGCCCGACAGAAACAAGGGAAATCCTGTCCCTGCAATACTTTATCGAAGGCATCCCGGATCCTGAAATACAGAAAGCCGTTAAGAATAGCGGATGCTAAGGATTTGAAAAGCGCTTTAGTGTACGCTATGAAATTCGAGCAGCCCAGCAAGCCACTCGTCGAGACCGCCCCCCAGTCAGAGCTGCTCAAGTCCAGGAGCCAGGGATCAAGTCACTGCTCGTCTAGACGATTTAACTAGACAACTGAACGCCTTGAGACGGAATATTGGTGATAAGAAACCGACCGTTAAGTGCTGGAACTGCGGTGCTGAAGGACACATACGACGAAACTTGCAGAACACCCCAGGGCACGGATGTTAAGACCGCTCCTAACAAACAGCAGGGAAACTAATTAGTGGCCATCTCGCGGGGGCGGAGGTTGCCAGATAATGAAAAGCCCCAGTTTAAAGTGCTTCAAATTTTTGCAGTGAGAGGTGGCAGTAATGGACTTTTCATAATAGGACATATTAATGGAGTTCCCTGCAATATGACGATAGATACAGGAGCCAACGTTACCATCATCCGAAAAGATTTGGCTCAACAACTGGGAAGCAAACTTATCTGGACGCAGCCCTGCGTTACCCTCCAGACTGTGTCCGGTGAGAAGATCGACATCGACGGGAAAAGTGAATGTTAACATCACGTTTGGAAGTGCCGCTTACCATCACACGGCCTATGTAGCAGAGATCACCGATTCTTGCATACTCAGATTGGACTTTCTAAGGAAATACAATTTTTCCTTGGACTTTAAAAATAACGAATTGCATTCTACATCTGAGGACATAGCGTTATTTGGAAGTTAATGATGAAGAAGTTAAATCTGTCCACAAATCATAGCACAAGACAATATCACAATACCGGCAAGAACGAAAGTTTTTACTTCCTGGATCCATAGCCGAAAACAGAAATTTCCGCTACGGCATCATAGAATATCCCAATAACTGTAATAGCCCAAAAGGAGTACTAGTAGCCTCAACACTCGTCGACCTATCCAGAACGGTTATCCCGGTGAGAGTCGCCAATGTAACTGAGAAGGCGAGAATTATTAAGAAAGGTGAAGTGGTTGCAGCATGTACTCCAGTAACCAGCGTTGAAAGAAAGAGTAACATCCCAAGAATCCGTGTCCTCAGCGAGCATTACATCGGAGTTATTGCAGAATGCGCAATTAAACGATGAAGAGAGGAATGCTGCCGATCGCGTCATTAAAGATCTTCAAGTTGTTTTCTCCCGCTCGTCTTCTGACGTGGGTCGAACTAGTTTGACACAACATAGAATCGATACCGGCGATCATTCCCCGATCAAGCAACATCCAAGACGTCTACCGTTTGCTAAACAGGAAGAGGTGCGAACACTGTTAAAAGATATGGAAGAAGATGTCATCGAGCCTTCAGCAAGTCCATGGGCATCTCCTATCGTTCCTAGTCAGAAAGAAAGACGGCTCAACAAGATTTTGCGTTGACTATCGCCGGTTGAATGAGGTTACGAAGAAAGACAGTTACCCTCTTCCTAGAATTGACGACATTCTAGACACTCTTTCTGGAAGCAAGTGGTTCTCAACACTTGATTTAAAGAGTGGGTATTGGCAGGTAGAAATACACCCTGATGACCGAGAAAAGACGGCATTTACTACGGGACAAGGGCTTTGGCAATTCAAGGTGATGCCGTTTGGACTGTGTAATGCGCCGGCAACATTCGAACGTCTTATGGAGACTGTTTTGAAAGGCCTTTCCTACGAAGCCTGCCTGATATACCTGGACGACATCATCATCGTCGGAAAGAGTTTTGAAGAACATTTAGAAAATCTTAGGAAGGTGCTTCAGAAACTGAAAGAAGCCAATCTGAAGCTGAGTCCCGCTAAATGCAAATTGTTCCGAAAGGAAGTGACTTACCTGGGACATGTCATCTCTGCAGAAGGTGTGCGCACGGATCCTGAAAAGGTATCAGCGGTTAAATCCTGGAAACGTCCCGAAAATGTCCATCAGCTGAGAAGCTTCCTAGGGCTTTGCACCTACTATAGGAGATTCGTGAAGGACTTTTCTTCCATCGCAAGACCCCTTCACAAGCTGACAGAGAGCAAGCAAAGTTCTTGTGGACAAAAGAATGCGAGGATGCATTTAACAACTTAAAGGAAGCTTTAACATCTGCTCCAATCCTGACGTATCCTCAGCTCGACAGACCATTTATTCTCGACACCGACGCGAGCAATGAAAGTGTCGGTGCTGTTTTGTCCCAAGAAATAGACGGCCAAGAACGTGTAGTAGCGTACTGGAGCAAGTGCCTGTCTAAACCGGAGAGGAATTACTGTGTCACCAGGAAAGAGTTGCTCGCCATAGTCAAAGCTGTAGAACATTTCCATCATTATCTATACGGCAGAAAATTCCTCCTCCGCACCGACCATGCATCATTGACCTGGCTTTTAAATTTCAAGAATCCTGAGGGTCAAATAGCCAGGTGGATACAGAGACTCCAAGAATATGACATCACTATCCGTCATCGTAAGGGATCATCACACGGGAACGCCGACGCCCTGTCCAGAAAGCTGCCGATATTGTTCCAGGGTGGAAGCGAAATACGAGCTGCTGACTCCGGTCGCAAGACAAATTACAACATCAACATCGGCTGATCGAAACCCGTGGAGTCATGTTGAAGTCAGGAAAGACCAGCTGGAAGACCGCGACATTAAACCCATAATTGATTTAATGGAGTCATCAAACAGAAAACCTACCTGGCAGGACATTTCTATCTGTAGTCCTACAACAAAACAATATTGGGCACTCTGGGATTCACTTCACATTCGAAACGGCGTCTTATACCGGAAATTCGAATCGGATGATGGGAAGACGTTCCGATGGCAACTGATACTTCCAAGATCCCGCATTCCTGATGTCCTTAAAGAACTACATAACAGCCCTACAGGAGGTCACTTTGGAATAATGAAGACCTTACAGAGAGTTCGTGAGCACTTTTACTGGAATAATGCAAAGGATGACGTGCAAAAGTGGTGCCGATCTTGCGATGCCTGTGCAGGTCGGAAAGGACCGAAGAGACGCAGCCGAGGCAAGCTGCAACGTTACAACGTAGGGGCGCCTTTTGAACGTATCGCCTTTGACATCTTGGGACCTCTGCCACGAACTGCTGATGGCAACAAATACATACTCGTTGTCATTGATTACTTCACCAAGTGGCCTGAAGCGTATCCTATTCCTGATCAAGAGGCTGTTACAGTAGCTGAGGTGATGATACAGCACTGGATTTCCAGGTTCGGAGTGCCTCTTCAGTTACATTCCG